GCCCTAACAACAAAACCAAGTTGCGACAACGAGGTCAAGCCACTTCTATAAATCGAAAGGAGACTGCGACCATACCAGAGGCCACAACATCTTGGTCTTCATGCCATCAGAGAACAAGTTTTGGCAGAGATGTATTGGTTTCGACTGGCTTTGTGTTTAACTAACAGTGAAGCCCTTACTAAAGTAGTTTTCTTAGTTAAATCGTAAATAGATGGATGCCTATCATCATACAATTCCCCCAAGAATGTTGTGATCTTAGTAAGGAACGAAGTCATATTATCAAGCAATATAATAGTTATCTTTTTGTTGATAAGACGGTAGATGTTTCTGTCTGATAAACCACACTTCCACGGTTTGGGCCCCGCTGGGAAGTGATGATATTACGATTTTGTGAATTGGATGTTAAACTCAAGTCTGAACTAAACAAACTCAACTTTCCCTCCAATTTATCCTCATCAGGTCGCCACCAATGGATTAGAAAAAACTGTCGAATCTGGTACACCTCTTCAACGATAAGGACTCAATTTGCCAATGACTTTTTTTGCCACTTTAGACCATTATCTCTGCCTGACCTGGAACCTATCAACATTAAAAGTGAAAAGAGAGCTATCTCCTCCTTGTAGCTAATAGATTAATTTAGGCGCCCCTCATGGTACCAAGTCTAGTGTTGATAAGATACACCATTAATAACCTAATCACTCTATGTCACTTAATGTGATTTAAGGACTGATAGAGGAGTTTTTACCACGACACAATGAATAGGCCTTAGGATGCCAACAAAATTTCCTTTGCTCTGCCTCCTGGCTGTGCTGCAGTTTTAACCGACACCAACACTCAAGAGCACAACAGCAGTCGAAATCGGATGATGCGTGTAAAGTTGCCATATGTTGCCTCTCCTCTAAACAACCACTTCTGTCAGTAGATTACAGAGTAAATGCAGCTTTCAAGATAAGCCAGACCTCTCTTAAAATTCATCACCGGCGATGCAAACATTTATGCATTCAACGATACTACTTATTTCCAATGTAAGTATTTTATGAGGGATACTCAAAAAGAATATAGGATGCAACATTTGGTGTATTGGTTTATAATCTCTGATTTAAAGAGAATGCCCGATGGGGGCTGAAATGAACTATTTCACCCATGCCCGACGGCAATTTTGACCGGACCCAAGCTTCTTTAACAGCCCTGATTGGACTCGAATCTTGGGCATGTACATTTTGCAGCAGACCTTTCAAATTACGACCCATACTGTCCCAGCTACTTGACAAACAATGAGAAAATGTTATCTCAAGTCTTTTACTCCGCGTGGCATCAGGGAAATGTGTAGGTCTCCGAATTCAGACATCCAGTCGCAAGAGCAGTCTAGTCTGAACTGGGTGAGCTATACATGCTCTAACCCTCTTTCAGCTTGGTCCAGGATATTTTTGCGATATTTATTAAAGTATGAATTGTTGAATGAGATGTATTCACCCAATTTCGTTTAAAGTGATGAAGTACTGGTAGAAGAAGAATTTTCTTACAATGATATGAGTTAAGCTGACGTTTCCATTGAATTTCACATGGCCTTGTTTTCCCAAAAGTTGTTCTCCCGTGAAATTCAATGGAAACGTCAGCTCAACTTATATCATTTTGGGAAAATTCTTCTTCTGCCAGTCCTTCATTACCTTAAACGAAATTGTGTGAATACATCTCATACTACTGACTGACTGGTAGTCACGAAAACAATACTTTATTCGAAAAATATGAATTATTGCTTTGATGATGTACGTCATAGTACAGATCTATTGGTGCCAAAAGTCTTTACTCCGTGGCAATCCTCGTTTGTTTCCTGGTCTGATACTTATTCACGAATTCCTGTAGACCAACTTTTCCTTCGAAATGAAGCACTGAGTCACTCTAATTCATTACGGCAGACTTCTAAACCCAATATTTTGCACACATACCGAGATCAAATTTTGCCGTGGTCAGGGAGGAATGTGTGATTTTCTTCAAGTCGTAGCTGCGTCAACAGATCACATCCTTACTCTTGACGACCACCACCAAGAGATTGTAAACACCACAGTTTTCCTATCAATCAGACATAACTGTCTCTTCGGTGGCCCCCAATTTGTCCTGTTTACGCATGCATTTAAAATAATTTCCCGTCTTTTTGGGCACCTGTGGTGAAATCTCCTGACAACAATAGTTGAGGCAGGACAGTCTTATTAACACATCTAACCTCACTCGGCCACACAGACTCTCGACTACAGCACACATACACACATGCATGGGTGCAAACAGAATCTAAAAGCAAACACAAATTGACTTGCATGCAGAGCAGACTTTCGCCATTTCACTGAATTCATAATTAGCCCTGTCTGCCTGTTTATCTTGACCATCGGCGTCGCGACGATACAGACATTCTCATCTGGTCACAGGCATAATACTCGGCCTGAATTACCCTCTGAATACCCACCCAACCACCTACCCATCCGTCTGGCCGGCTCGAGTCTGACTGAAGCCATGCCCTATTTCTGCATACCTGTCCATCTCGCCACTTCTATGCATTAGTTTGTTCGCCTATTTGCCCGCCTAATTAAACACACACTGTCCGTGTCGCCAATTCTCACTACCAAGGGCTGTTGTTTGGGTATTTCGGACAATCCCACTTCCAAGTGGAGGACAATTGCGTGCTAGCCTTTCGTGAGAGGGTCGTCCTCTTCTTCTCTCCTACACATCACTACCATAGGCACAGTATAATACTTGTGTTTTGAGCACGTGTGTCTGCATGTGTGTGCGTGTGGGTGTGTGCGTGTGTGTGTGTATAGGCTATGATTTTGCGCCTCAAATGAGTGGGCTCTTTCAGCCATGCTGCCGAGCTTGTCCTGTTGCCTGACGAGGCACTAGCCACTGGTGTGCCAGCCATCCGCCTATCAAGCCATCTCTTGGTCCGTCCGGCTCGACTGCATCCGGAGGTATTCAGGCTCGTTGCTGAACGACCTGTCGTCATGTTTGGGCCGATCTCACAGTCTCTGACGCCCTCTCGTGAGGAGTACCTTTTGGACATTTTATTGGGCTCAACACGCAGCCCTCGTCTCTACAAAACACCAGCATATACACATTCACACATACATACATACATACATACAAACATCCATATATATATATATATATATAT